CAATTTATGCTTTCGAATTATGTAATGTAAAACAATGTAGTTGATGTGAACAATGCCAGTTGTAATATGTAATGTTGGTGACGATTGTGTTATGTTTCATGTATATTCATTGTGATGATATTTCAATTTATAAGTCATACGAGCCCCCGGACGTTTCCACCGTCTGGTTCGGGGGTGTGACAGATTGGTATCAGAGCATTGTTTATAGTGAACTAGCATATCTAACCATACATGCTATGCAACTATAAATACAATGGGACTAAAACACTCTGAATAAAGTGCATGCATTAAAACTATAACATTAAAAGTCTCTAGAGGAAATGGAACGCTGTGATTAAACCCGAGCGGTTATGTGGTCATATTGGGGGTAAATATAGTCTGATCAACTATATTTATTCAAAATATGACCGACATGTGTTTGGGGGTAATTATGGCGGAAAGTTGACCTAGAAACTCACCTCATATTCAAAACTTCTCAGGAATTCAAACTCACTATATGCATACATATTACAACACCCCTTTTCACCCTTCTCAACTTCTCGCGCAGCCACCATGGATGGAGCGCATCAGGGCATTCTTTTCCACCAAAACCTAGTGGCTCACGGAGAAATTGAAGAAGACCCCGTGGTAGGACCCGAGGCAGCCTTTGACCTTGAGGAGGAGGAGTATACAGACATGGACTACGAGTTTGATGAGACCGATGATGACGAAGAGGACGAAAAGAACACTGACGAAGTTTCCGATGAGCCTCCTACCACAGAAGTGCATCAGGACCACCCTATACCGCCAAGGGGATCCATTAATGGAACCCGCTCTTCGGAAGAAGAAATCGTCGCACTTCGACAGCAGCTACTGGCAATGGAGACGCGAGCTGTGCAAGAGGAACATGAAAGAGATGAGGTCATTAGAGAAATGACCGAGATGGCTACTTTAGTAGCACAACATTTTGGAATATGATATCGCTATGGCTGTTAGACGCATCTCGTCATGATTAGGATTCACTCCCTCACTTAATAGTATCATTGTGTTTCCCTTTATATGTATGCTACTTTATGTACTATCGACCTTATGTTTAAGTGATCACACTACTCATAGGGTCGTCATGCTGACGGATTATATGTTTTCCTATGTACCGTATGCCTTCTGGCAAATTTTCATGTATTAAAACAATTACAATTAAATGCTAATGTTGTTTCATCATGATGTTGTTATCTGCTGTGTGTTTTATTTCCTTGTTTTATGATAATGCATGGAATTACTTAAGTACACACTTGATGCGCCGAGTCTATGGAATTCTAAGCTCGGAATACGATATGTACTCAACATCTTTCCGTTCTGTGACAGAAAGATGCCTCAAAGACCCAACCGTGGAAACAACACAACACCAACCCCGCCTGAAATAAACTTAGTTGCATTCCAGGCAGCAGTGTCCGCTGCGGTCACTGCAACACTTGCGCGGATTCGCAACGGAAATAACAGAGAAGGCAACAGACAGGGAACCGGGAGCAAAAATCAAGGAACAAACCATGGAACCACACGAACCTGCACCTACAAGGATTTCACCAACGCTAAACCTCGAGCCTTTAATGGAACAGGAGGCGTAATAGCCCTGAAACGATGGATTGAGAAAGTGGAATCAGTTTTTGATATCTACGGGTGTCCAGATGGGTGCAAGGTCAAGTTCGCAGCCTGCACATTTATTGATCAAACTCTCTCCTGGTGGAATGGCCACGTAGAGGCCATGACACTCCCGGTGGCGAATGCGATGCCCTGGTAAGAGCTTAAGGAAATGATGTTGGCCGAATACTGTCCCAGAGGTGAAATTCAGAAGATGGAACAAGCACTGTGGAACCTCACGGTTCAAAACTCCGATATCAACGCATACATATCCAGGTTTAGTGAGCTATCTCTTCTGTGTCCCAGAATGATTGATGGTAATAAGAAGAGAAGATGTCATCGAAGGAAGTGACAAGATAATATGAGGATTGATATTGATGAGTTTATTTGAGGACATAACATCAAATAGGAGGGTTTGGAGGCTAAACATTAGAGTTGATCCGCCTTGCATGTATTTGTTTTTTTTTATCTTATTCATGTATTATTTCTCTTTCTTTTATAGGTCTTCAGATTTCGTATGCCTCTTTAAAAAGTACCCATATTTATGTTCCATTGTGAACAATTACTTTATTTTTTCTTTCTTTTCTCATTATATATGTTCTCGTTATCCACATGTTGGATGTCATCTCTGGATACATTCTTGCTTCCGAAAAAACATGATTGTCAACTTCTACTACACCCTATCTCATTCTAATAAGATTCTCAAGATCTATTCTTATTATTGTTGTATAAGCAAATTATGATGCAATAAAACCATCATTAATATCAAATATTAAAAGAACATGATAATTTTATATATTTATATAGTCTTTTAACTTTTTGAGGTACATATTTAGCAAAATAAAATCAATATAAAACTCATGAGTTAAAAAAACGATAAATTAAATGAGAGAATTTTGATATTTAAATAAATGAAAATAAATGTTTATTTGTTAAAATTCATTTTAAAAGAGTTGTGATAACTTTTAGTTAAAATGAAAAATGATGTAAAATATGACCTAATTATAAACTGAATCTTTCTACCTATATGAAATGGTAATAAGTTGATTAAATTATTATTAATTTCATTAAATGTGACATTAAATATTAAATTGTCAACATTTAATATGGTAGGAGGATGAATAAGAAGAAAATGTAGAAAAATATTTAATTTCTCTAATAACATGTGAAATAAATTATTTTCGGAAATATCTATAAATTTTATTATCTCACTATAGGGATTGATATTATTTTCGTGATACATAAATAACTAAACTGTTTTTGCTTATTCATTTATTGTAAATAAATGCATGTTTTAATACGGTCAAATATAGATGTTCATTAATCATAAAGTAAGTATATAAGACGAGATATTGTGTCTTTAATATATTTAAACTAGGTGTGAGACTCATGTATTACATGAGTTTATTTTAAAAAAATTAAATATGAAATTTTAACAAATTGAAAAGTTTGAATTTATATAAAAAATAAGAAAAATTTTGAATTATTAAAATTAATAAGGCTTTAATGTATTGAATACATTACATATATAAACCCTTTCTAATAAATACCTTACATATATATTACCTTACATATTAAATATGGAATTTTCATTTAATAAAATGAAAAATACAATAAAATGACAAGTGGAAAATAGAAAATTTAAAAATTCTAAAAAATGTCATGTGTCCAAATGAAAGAGAAGATGACATGTGGCAAAAAAAACCTTCATTTATTAAAGTAGATTCGTACATTTTACGATATCATAATTAAATTATGTTATATGAATAATATATAATAACTGTTGATATGTTATTTTACTATATTTACATTGAGAAATCTCTTAAATTTTGTTGAAAATGTGGTCTTATTTATATAAAAAAAGTCATGGTCTTTTAATAAAAAATTATAAAATACTAACAGTTGTTTATAAAAAAATAGGTAATCGTTTAGATAATCTTGAGTTTTAGACGATAATTTTTAGAAAAATCTTTATATGCTAAGCTTTTTATTATAAAAGTCATGTTTAAGTATAAATAAATATTATCTTATTATATTCCAAATGTCAATAGAATTATGATATTTGTAATGTCATTATATTTTTTTTTCTGTCTAACAAATAATATTAATTAATTCACTGTAATCTAATTGTATATTATGGGCATGTTTGACAAAAGTAGCTGTTAGCTGAAAGCGGATAATGGATAGCTGGTAGCGGGTAGCATGTAGCGGGTAGCTGGTAGCGGGAAGCTGTAGCTTTTACTTGTTATATGAGTGTTTGACAAAAGTAGCTGGAAGCTTTTGAAATATATAAAATTATATAAAAGGACAATTGATTAAAAATAAATAAATATATAAATATATTTTTAAGGGTGATTATGAAAATTGATTTCAAAAGCTCAGTAGCGTTTTGTTAAACGCTACATGAAGTAGCTTTTAGATTTGGAGCGTTTTGTTTAAACTAAAAGCAAACGCTCATACTACCAAACAAAGCTTTTTGTTTAAACTAGAACGTTTTGTTAAAAGCTAAAAGCTAAAAGCTCTCAAACGCTTCCAAAAGCTCCGTGCCAAACATGCCCTGTATGTCCAACATTGAGAGAGAGTATTGTCTTATTACTATTATCTTTCTTATTTTTTTATACAAAGGGTATTATCTCACTATAATCTTATCTAATTTTATTTTATTATATTTGTCTAACTAAAGGTCTTGAACTCTTGTTTTACTATAATCGCATTGTATTTTTTTTTTATTTTTTATGATGCATTATATTTGTCTAACAAAAGATTAGTGTTTTATTATAATCTTATTATATTATTTATTTTTCTTATTTTCTCGACATATGGTATTATCATCTTATTATAGTCTTAAGGGTATTTTTTGTATTTTATCAAATTGTATTATCTTATTGTATTTTTATATGATAAAAAAATATGTTATGTTTGAAAATAATTGTTTTTGTTTTCTAATCAAGGTTTACTTTTATGAAAACAATTGTTTTTGTAACTTTTTGTTGGAGGCATGTTTTTCAAATGATATCTTTCTATAACATATATTTCTACAACTTTGTTATCGAGATTTTAATTTTTAAGCAAGACGAGACTTAGATGTGTAAGATACGACACTAAGTCAGGACACAGAAAGAAAGATTATATTAAGATAAAAATATTTATCCTCGTCAATGGTAATGCTTTTGCTTTTGTTTAGGGGAGATTACACACATACTTAAGAGTCCTTAATGTTTTTTCTACCGCATATGTCCAATTCCTTTATGTAATAATCCAAAAGGAAAAATACATAAAAGTCACTATAACCGAATTTTATGTAATTTTAAAAAAAAATAAACATAACACAATCAAATTACTAAAACATGAAGTGACATCTATTTGTGAAATCAAATCATGCACATAAATTTCTTTCTACAAACAAGTATAAAAAGGCCAACATCATGACTCCTGAAAACTTCTGTACAAAATAATATTCATTTTCCAACATTTTTTGTTCTTCAAACCAACTTCACTGATACTGCTTTTCTTGTTGGTTTTAGTTTTTTCAAGTTTTTATTTGTTTTTCCAATTAAAAATAAAAAAAAATCAAATCCAAACGGTGGTTGCTAGTAACCCAAACCCCCCTCAATGTATTTGTTGCTATTCGTTGATGGGAAAGTTGATTATCATCTCCTGCAAACAACAACATTCCCTTTTTTTAAAATTTCATATTCGCCAAATTACATAAAAGCCCCTATAGAGTAGATAGACCAACCTGATCACACACAGGGCACGTGTCACTTCTTTCCATCCATTCAAGAATGCATGACAAGTGAAAAATGATGTTCACATTTCGTTATTATTTTTGGGTTTTCTTCATCATATTCTGCACAAAATAAAAATTTATTAAAAAAAAAAAAAAGAAGCTTAAATGGGTTGTTTTTTTGGCTTAACCCATTAAGTCATTAAGTCAAAAATACCTTCAAGACAGGTGGGACATTCCTCGGGGGGCAAAATAGGTCCAGTAGGCTTCTTAAGTTCACCAGATTTGTTAAGCTCATCTTCTACTTCTTTTGTTGCAACAAGTTCAATATTTGTAAGGTCTTTGCATTCAGACCCTTTTGTTTCCTTAATTACAGTTTCGCCACTGGGACTGTTGTTACTACTGATGGTTATTTCTCCAACACCAGAAGCTTCTCGATTGTTACTGAGTGGACTTCTTGGATGATGGTCAACATTTACATCATATGGGATAGGGGCAGGGGGAGGTCTATATGTATCTGGTATTGAAGAAGTTTCAAGATTTGTATCAACTAAAAGCCCTGTAGAAAGTGCAGAAACTGCACCACTGTTTGATGATGACAAAGGTTGACGCTCCTCTGATGCTATTGGATACTGCATAATCAAAGAAAAAACTAACATTGGGACAAAAAAAAGGGGTAAGATGGTAATTTCACAGTCCCATACAGTATACTAACATGATAGAATCGGGGTGAAGTGTTGAGTTCTACTCCTTTAGAAAAGCAGCAACAGCAGCCTCCCATTTTTTTTGTTTTACTCAGTTATGGATTTTATCGAACTGAAGATATTGATAATGGTGTCATTGTGGTTTTGCTCTCTAGCAATGGAGAAGACACCTCTCAACTGTCAGTTAACATCATCAATATGTCACAAGAAGGTCAAAGATATTACTGTGTAGAACAACAAGGATGTGTATGAAAGTTATGGAAGATAATTATTAACAAATTGAGATTACATGACCTAAAATCAATATTTAATTGTACTTGTATTTCTCAATTCGATCCTAAACATTCAACTAAACAAACACCAATAATACAGAAGAACCGTCAATTTCAGCACTAATATGACTCGATAATCCAAAAGTAAATTGTCGTTAGGCGTTAATTCAATCAGCAAAGTTATTCCTCAACTCAATCCTAAATTCAAACCAAAATTGCACAATCAAAGTGATTAATAACCAATACAATCAAAGAAAAGCAAGTAAGTTATCATTCAGAATCGAAAACCAAACCTTATTCTACGATAATTCGATCAGTAATAATCATTCCTCAAGTCAATATAAAGGAATTCAAAAAACGTCGGTCTACAATAGCACAGTCTTCGACCTAAAAGCAAAATCCCTAAAACAAAATCGATTCAAACGAAACAAATTCCTATTGAATACAAGTTATCAAAAAAGCAATCAACGCAACTCCGAAATAACTTTAGAGACACCAAGAACATAGAGAGACGATCAATTTGCACCACTAACACACGCACGAACAGAGAAAAAGAAGACGTATGTACCTCTATCGATTGAGGTGGAGTTGTGAACGGAGAGGTCAGCCGTGTACTTTGAGTTGAGCAAAGCAAGAAAATAGAGATAGAGAGAGAAAGTGCGCAAAGGTATTTTCACCCCCTTTCCTTTCCTTTATGAATTATGTGTGTGAGAAAAATGATGGCGTGGCTTTGGACATCACATTTTCTTTTTCTTTCTTTTTAAAGCGGTCCAATAATCTTATAAAATATAGCTATTCTTTTACTATAAAATAAGGGATAATGACTTCAAAATCAAAATGTAATATATTTTTTGATTTTTATATATTTGGTCCCTGAGTTTTTTTCGTCCATATTTACCTCTTTAACTTGTTAAACTGTATACATTTAGTCCTTATGACCGGTTATTCCAGGTTAACCGGTAAAAATGACTTAATAGGGCAATATATTTCTCACTTCATACACATTTAGTCCTTAATATTTTTGTACACATTTAATCCTTAATATTTTTTTGTTGCAAAATAAGTCATTTTTGTTTTTGTACTCATTCGGTACTTATAAATGATTTCTTTAGGTTTTTCTCACGACATCTTACGTGTGATAGTCATATGGTGGTGGGATAGGTTGAGACGGTTCTGCTATATGTTGTAGGTCAAGATACCTGGTGCGAGCCGGCTGTAAACCGTAGGCATGGAGGCTCGAGAAGAGCGGTTGGGTTAAGGCGACATGCCAACAAACCCTGGGTATTCCAGTCCGATGACTGATTGGGCCAAGGTATTCCAATCTGATGAGTGTGGGCCCGTTATGCATGATAATACGTTTTTTGTATCAGATATTTTGGGGGAAACTCACTAAATTTTGTGCTTACTCAGTTGTTTATGTTTTCAGGTTCTATCGTTGATCGTGGGAAGACGAAGGCAGGACTGTACACACCCATCAGCGTTTCTAATATTACTCTGATTTTCGATAAATGTATTGAGGATTCCGCGTTTCTAATATTACTCTGATTTTCGATAAATGTATTTTGGAATAAACGTTTTTTTTAATAATGGATTTATAATTAGGGAGTTTTGCCTTCTTTAAAAATGAAAATTTTTTGGTGTGAAAATGAGTCGTTACACATAAACATCAACAGCCCCACACACTTCATCAATGATTGTCCACGTAAGATGTCATGAGAAAAACCTAAAGAAATCATTCATAAGTAATGAATGCGTACAAAAACAAAAATGACTTATTTTGAAACAAAAAAAAATATATTAAGGACTAAATGTATACAAAATGATAAATATATTACCATATTAAGTCATTTTTTCCGGCTAACTTGGAATAACTGGTCATAAGGACTGAATGTGTACAGTTTAACAAGTTGAAGGGGTAAATGTGGACGAAAAAAACTCAGTGACCAAATGTGTACAGATCGAAAAATATATTACCCTTTTAAGTCATTATCCCATAAAATAAAGACCGAAACTGCAAAAATAATCCCTATGTTATATTAATTTTTTTAGGTTTTGATTCAAACTTAAATTTTTGTGGATTGATGGTCATTTTGATCATGTATTCATGTATTTTTGTAATTTTGGTATCTCGAAAAATTGAAAAGAGTAAAATACCTTTCTGATATATTTTTTTTTATGTTTTGTCTATTTAATTTAAAATTTTATTAATTAAAAATATGGTCTCTCTCTTACACACACATACACACACATCACCATCACCTACTTTGATCACCGATCAAATGGATTCAACTTCATAGTCACCTTCCTATCAATACCAGAAACCATCGTCTTTGCCATTCCTGATTCCGCCATTTCGAACCTCTCAATTCGTCCTTACATGACCACACACCTCCTCGCCTACCACATCTCGTCGGAAAAATTAATCATCCAAGATATGTTAAAAAAGCCCATAAAAACCATCTTACTAACCTTGATTCAACACTAGAAAGTTTCAATCACGACGAATGGTAACAAACATCATGTTCTTGAAATCAACAACATGTTGATTACTCCCTCAAATTTGTTTCTTCGAGGACCCATCACTATTCATGACATTACTGGGTTCATTTGCTTCCTTCCATCATAACCAAGAAAGCATAACATTACCAACATGCGAATCCAGTTGGTGGTGGTGGCGGCTGTGGATTTATCAAGAATGAGGAAGAATGGGGGCGAGTACGCCCAACATACTCAGCTTGTACGCACGACGTACTAGGGGCTTGACCAAGAAGTAGGTTGTTGACCACGTACGCACAACGTACTCTAACATACGCCCAGCGTACGTGCTAGCCAACTTCTCCTTCAATTAAGAGCTTAATCCCTTAAGCCCTTTCGTCCAAAATCCAGCTCTAGTCCCAAAATAACATCTTAAGTCATAAAGTTTCCAACTTTATGACTTTGCATGGCTAGGAAGTGCTCAATACTAAAAACCCTAACTTCTTAACTCATTAAGACATTATAACCCATGCATGGAAGGAAACTAATGTCCAAGATTGCTTGTGTATGACCTTAGACACTCTAAAACGTCTGGAAGGACAATCTATTTGGGTCTAGAGCATGTCATACTCAAGAGCATCATTGATTGGGGACAAAAGCATATTATAACATCATACAAGCTAGATCTAACTAAATAAGCCTCAATGTATAAACTTTATACCTTTTGGAGATGTAGGAAGGTGCAAAACTTCCATATCTAAGGTTGCTCCAAGCTTCGAAGATATTCTCCTTCCTATATGAACACAACAACACACACACTAATGGCTCAAGGGTGCTCAAAAATGGATTAGGGTTAGATAGGGTCGAATATAGAGGTGGAGGCTGAAGAATGAAGAGATATCAATGAGTTAAGGATGTTTAAATATGGTACAAATCCTAAAAATTAGGGTTTGACCCCTGACCACGTACGTCCAACGTACGCAACGTACGCCCAGCGTACGCATGCAGCCCCCCATTTTTCATTTAATTGCCATTTGTGACCAATTTGCAAGAAATTCTCATACCAAGGGTCAAAATATAAAATACCTAGAAATCGAGATGTTACATGGATATAGAGATCACTTACCATAGTCATTTCTATTTCCGAGAGTTCCTCTAATAAAGTTATTATCTCCTTATTTCTATAACCTATTTTTCTAAGCAACATTAATGTCAAATCATTAGGTGCACCACTTGATCATTTGTTTGTATATGTACAAATTCATGTTTTGGAAAAATTCTTTTTATTTCATATTGATTCAAAAGATTTTGGTATATAAAAATCACTTGTGGTTATATGAAAATAATAACAAACTATAAAACTAACCAGGTCTAATAAAACCTAACTATGAAACACATATTGAATACCAAAAATTTACTCATTTTGGAAATTGTTCATTGCATTTCAGACTAAGATTTTCATGTTAGATAATATTTTATGACTTTTAAGCTAACTACAAAACCAACCATGACATGTATAACCTAAATAATACAAAACACATACAAAATACCTATTGTAATCCAAAAACTCGACCTATTTCGAAAAAGTTTATCGTATTTCAGACCGTGGTTTTCATTTCGAGAGACGTTTTTTAACTATAAATATGGACATTAAAAGTTTAAAACTAACATGGTTCACCGTAATCTCCTTAGACTGCGAATCTATACTTCGTTCCATCGAAATTCTTCAAAAAATCTGAAATGTCATTGGGGATGTGTTGGGTACCACATTTTAGATTTTATGTAAATATGAGAGACCACCTACATGTATTATCCATCAAATCTTGGTTCCGAAATGACCCACTTCAGGCGGGTGATCAAATTCGTAAATGGCAAAATCTTTATTTTTTATAATAGTGAAAATTCGTAGTCATTTTTTATTATCCCTATTCATGTTATCTAAATGTTTTCTTAAGTTTCTCCTCTTAGATACATTAATATCAATGTTAAACCAAGTTGTATATCAAATCAGATTATCTTATTTTATATTAATAAACTAGCAAATAATATTATAATAAATTTATTATTTTCTAAGAATAATCATTAGTAAATGGCGGTTTTTGATATTTTTATTAAAATATAATAACAAAGATCCTCAAATGTCATAATATCCGTCGTTTTTAAAATATATACAACGTAAATTATGAAAACTGTTTGAAGGATTTTTCGAATCCTCTTCCTACGTGCTTGCATATGTTTTCCTTTCGTATTTTATAATGATTTCTCAAAACTTCAGTTGTAGGTCATGTTATTTTTTTCTATTTATTTAAAGATTCCTTCTTCTTTTGGTTTTGGTTGTTTACACACTTTTTTTTAAATGGTTGATTATATATATATATATATATATATATATATATATATATATATATATATATATATATATATATATATATATAGGTTCATGCGAAAACATAAATATCCTGCGAAAACGCGAAAACAAATTTTATCTTATAAAAATCAAACATAAGTAGTATAAAAATTAAATTTATTAGCAATAAATTAAAGATAATAAGTTTACATTGGATTGTGTTATGATACTATAGATTTAAAGACGATTTTATCAATTTTTTTTTTCACGTTCTTGACCACTTTTAAATTCATGTTTTCATAATAAAAATGTCAAAAATCATATTTTGCTAATATGAAATAATTTATCATGTATAATCGATTATCATCATGTAGTTCAATCGAAAACATTTATTATCGCGAGAACATTTGAGAACAAATTTGGACCACACAATTTTTTAATTAAAATTATAAAATAATATTCATATAAATCAAAAAATAGTTACAAACAATTAAAAAACTCACTAACTAACACCACTTATCACCCAACCAACACCACCCGCCACCACCACCCATCACTAACTACCACCACCAACCACCACCCACCACCCATCACCAATCACCACCACCCACCACCACTCGCCACCACCATCACCACCCAACCACCACCCACATCCACCACCCATCACCACCGCCTGCCACCACCACCCACAACCACTACCTACCACCCATCACCACCACCCACCACCACCATCTATCACTACCCACCACCACCACCGCCACCACCACCCATCACTAACCACCACCACCAACCACCATCCACCACCCTCCACCCATCACTACCCACCACCACCACCACCACCACCAACCACCACCCTCCACCACCACTACCACCCACCACCATCACCACCCAACCACCACCACCCGCCACCACCACCCACCTCCACCACCCATCACCACCGCCCGCCACCACCACCAACAACCACGACCTACTACCCATCACCACCACCCGCCACCACCACCAACAACCACTACCTGCTACCCATCACCACCACCCGCCACTACCACCGATCACTACCCACCACCACCAACCACTACCCACCACCCACCACCAACCATCACTACCCACCACCACCAACCACCACTCACCATCACCACCACCCGCCATTACCACCCATCACTACCCACCACCACCAACCACTACCCACCACCCATCACTGCCCAACACCCGTCACCACCCACCCACCCACCACAACCACCACCCACCACAACCACAACCACCCACCACCACCACCACCACCAACCACCACCCGCCACCACCACCCATCACTACCCACCACCCACCACCACACGTCACCACCACCACCCACCACCCACCCACCACAACCACCACCACCACCAACCACCACCCGTCACCACCATCACCACCCACCATCATCACCACCCAACCAACACCACCCGCCACCACCACCCACACTCACCCACCATCCACCAAAACTACCACCCATCACTATCACCACCACTTGCAACCACCCACCCACCCATCACCACACACCACCACCACCCTGCCTCCACCACCCGCCGCCACCTACAAAGATTTGTTATTGTGTTTTTGATTCACTAGTTTTTCTCGTGTATATAATCACATGTGATTATATGTATCGAGTCACATGTGATGATATGTATCGAATCAAATATGATTTATATGTTATTAAATACATATAATCAAATGTGATTAAATACACATGAAAAACTAGTGAATCGAGAATGCAAAAATGAATATTGTCCACATAAATCATATGTGATTAGATACATATAATTACACGTGATTATATGTATTTAATAAAATATTATTTATGTGGGCCGTATTTATTTTCGTGTTTTTGATTTAATAATTGGAATCGTGTATTAAATCACATGTGATTATATGTATTTAATCACATATGATTTACATGGACAATATTTGTTTTCACGTGTTGATTCAATAGTTGTTCTTGTGTATTTAATCACATGTGATTATATTTATTTAATCACATATGATTCGTATGGAAAATATTTATTCTTGCGTCGATTCAATAATTGTTCTGATATATTTAATCACATGTGATTATATGTATTTAATCATATATGATTTATGTGGAAAAAGATTCATTATTTCTTTCTCAATTCAGTAGCTGTACTCATGTACTTAATCACATGTGATTATATGTATCAAATGACATATGATTTACATTGATAATATTCATGATTCAATATTTTTTCTTATGTATTTAATGATATGTGATTGTATGTATTAATCACATATGATTAATGTGGAAAAAGAAAAACTATTTAATCAAAAACGCGAAAATGAATGTTGTGTACAAAAAACATATGTGACTAAATGTACAAGAACAATTATTGAACAAGAATGTGAAAATGAATATTGTCCATATGAATTATATCTAATTAGATACGTACATATAATCTCATGTAATTAAGCACACAAGAACAACAACTGAATCGAGAACGCGAAAATAAATATTTTTCACATAAATTCTATGTGATTAGAT